CCCCAAAACCCCAAAACCCCAAAACCCCAAAACCCCAAGTTATGAGAAAGAGTAGACTAAATATAATTAATACACAAATATAAGAATGGAAGCTAATATTCCTCTTTCTACTCAGTAAGCCCTTTAGAGCCTTCTTTAAAACCGTAACTAGGTAATCCTATATAAGCAAAACTCATTTTTAGCTATGATTTAAGAAATATTATCCCTATCTCTCAGTAGTTTCCTTTGACAAACAGCATTCTTAACATTTGAGAATTTTAACAAATCCAGAAAAGTTTAATATTTTGGTGGTAATTCTTATGAAATCTATAGCCAACAAGAGCCTTTATCAAACAGAAAGAACCCAGGCAATAATCATGAGGGGGAAGGAAGAATTTGATATGAATTTGACCCTGAAGCATCCTCTGAGAGCTCAATTTGTGTTTCTGAAAAGAAAGACATTGGTCCTAAAAGAGATATTCAGGAATTGGGGCATCAGGATGAGAAACCCAGCTTTTACCACTGAGACTCCTGCTACAAACAGTTTAGCAAGAAGATTATTCTAAAAATGCATATGAGAAAGCACAATGATATATCGATTGATAGCTGCCTGAAGGCAACAGAACCCAAGATTCATGCAATAAGTAAGGAGCTTTGTTGAAAAACTATTTCACAAAGAGGGACACCAAAGTACTATTGAGACCATAGACTGCTATGTATGGTGTTCGCGAATATAGCTTCTTAAATTCTCCTACCACACATAAGACTGATGTCTCAGGCATTTCTATTAAAATCAATATGACCTCTTATTTTAGGTGAAAATTTTACATAGAAATGCTCTTGAATTTTTATGCTTAAGAGACTCTCTCAGCACTTTGAATAGCTTGAATTGTATCAGGAATTTGCACTAGTTAAGGATCTTGATAAGAAATCGGCCATAAACTCCTTATCGACTCTCTAGATATTTATTTGCTTTAGTTGTAGTTCATATTTTAACCATCTGAAAGACTTTAATTTTTGGTATGAATACAGAATGATTAGGATTCATCTCTAAATGCTCGTATAGGCTTTTTCATCAGTCTACACTTTCCAAATAATCTCTAAATAACATAAATTTTTCATATTTAACATAAATTATTAAATTTTAATCAGCATTATGATTAGAGAATAAAAGGCTTACATAAAATTATGAATGGGAATCAGAGAAGGTAGAGGCCATTTCTAATTCTCTGCCTAACCTATCAGCCTCTCTCACCCTTTACTAGCTTAGTTTCACAGAAAAACTACTTTGTCTTATATGTTATGTAATTTAGGTTTACGATCAGCTAAATTTTATTAAAATGCTGAATATTTTGAACCAATTATTCTTTGAAAAACACTTTTTCAATAAATAAATTCATTTTCCATCTAACCCTAATTTATAGGTTCAGACAAGATTCGTGAATCCAAGAGAAGAATAAAGGAGGTAGGTCAAGAGGCAAATTTTCATGCTAACTTTGTTGTGATATATTTCAGCCACCAGACCAAATACTTTCCAACATTGTTTATAGTATAACTATTTCCTATTGGTTTGTCCATGTCAAGTCGGCTCCTTAATAATTTGAATTGGAAAGAGTTGTTCATGCTAACGGGAATTCCAGAAAATTATGATTTATTTCATCGCTTAATTCTCAACTTAAATGAAAGGGTCTACCTGAACTTTAAAAGTTTACCTGTATTTGAAAGAACAAGAGAGCTTAGCAACAAGTGCTCGATGCCATTTTACAGTAAAAATTCTTCCATCGATGAAAATTTCGTAGTCAACTGCTTTATCCAAGTATGTTTATTTCTTTTAAAATGTGTTATTGATCAAAGTTATTGAGCATACCTAAAGAACTGCTCCTAAACTAGATCTGAAAAAACTTCATTGAACGTTAAATTATAATCCTAAAGTAAAGATAGGTCGTTAGGAATCTCAAGAGAAAATCGTTATGAAGAGAAATTAGAAAATATGAAAAGATTCCTCAGTTTTAAATACTTCTTAGATTTAATGGCCTAGGCTGACTAAGTCTACTGTTTTGAAGATAGTTCTTGCAGTCAGGTTTTTAAGACATCTTATTATCTTCTCTTCTGAGTTTTAGCATATCCTAATAATATTTTTCCCAAAGAGTCAGTCTTATCGAATTTGCATCAGATTCATCATTTTCTTCCACATCTCAGAGGCTGACAACCCAAAACGCTTTACTAGAGGAAACAAAGCATCGTAATGTTTGCCAAGAATCAACCTAGGAATTTCTATCAAAGGCTTAATAAGAAGTGTAAAGCTACTTGATAGTTTTTACTCATTACTGTGAAATGCTTCATAAAAATTCCTTTTGAGGTGGAGTCAGCATGACATGGGTATTCTAAAAAGAGACTATAGCTAGAGGAAAAGTTTTGCATATACCTTCCCATATATTTTAAACATTTTCATAACTTCATTGAGGACTCATGAATTCATAGTCACCATGTTATGCCAAATCTATCACGGCTGGTTCAAGTTAAGGATTTTGTAGAAGTCTTCTCTTTATAAAGATCACTAATTTATAGCTAATAAAGGTATAAGGCCTTCCTCTTTATTTAGTGAGTGCTCACCGAATGTTATTTAAGCGTTAAATATAATTATAAACCTGGAAAAATAAGATTTTTACTATTCTTGGAAAGTTATCCGTTTCTTAATCAACTTAATAAGAATTATTCAAATTCTTAAGCCATGCGAATTAATTCGTAGTCCATGAACAAAGAATGAGACAACAACATTCAAAAAGAATCAAAGCGTCTAATATTTTGATGTAGTCACAATTTGAAGAGCCTATGAAATACCCATTGCCCGCATTATCAACAGTAAAATCTAAAGTGAAGGAGAAAGAGTATGAAGCTGAAGAAGATAAATGGTCGGACACAGACGGATTTAGTGTTTCAGTAACCGAAGAAAAGAACAAGAGGGTTCAATTACCCGACTCAGACCTCGTTGCAATAGAGCTATCAAACCTCATATCAAGTAACTAAAATGTTTCCAAATTTTCGATCATTTCTACACTATCTAAACTTTACCACAGGTAAAAATACACTCCAAAGTGCCCTCCTATCCCCTTCTCCAACCGGTAAGCCCTTCTCCCCAACCTCTCCCTTCTAACACCCCAATCTAGGTTTCCCAAATTTCTGCCCTTCCTCAAGCCCATGCCCCCTAAGCCAAGCAACTACAAATCCCGTGACTAAGCACAGGCCAAGTTCAGAGTAATCTCTTCGTGTTAAGACTGTAGGTGCAGGAACAAGAAGGAATTTTAAGTAGATTTTGTACTGAGATTTTGGGTATTCTTTGGGAATCTTAAAGGAAAAAAGAAGCTGAAGTGGGAAAATGAGGTGTCGGATATGGAGAGAGAGAACTGAGGAAGATCTGAAGAGTGATTTAGGTGGGATTTGAAAGAAGATCTTTGGAATTTTTGGATTTGGGTAAAGACATAAGCATTTCGGCTTTCTTTTAGTCTGGAAAGAGAGACTAAAGAATGAGCCCTATGTTTTGATAGTGTAGGGCTCATCTAACTTGGTTGTCGTGTGGAGTTACAACCTCTGCTGGCAATCTAGACCATCACTATTAATTTGTCCCTTTAAATTGATAAAAGTTTTCGTTTTAATAGAGGGTTTGCAGTTACTTTGAATCGTATTGAGCCATCAAATTTCAGAGTCATTAAAGACTAAAAATAAAATTCCTTCAGAGAAAATAAAGCGTATGAATGGGACATATCTCAAAGCTCTTGGAGCTTGATAAAAATTATGATAATTTCTACTAGTTTTTCAGAGAAGTAAGGGAGATAGATATTTATAAGAAAAGAAAAAGATTTAGCAATATCCCACAAAAGTTTTAGAAAGTTCGTTGGAAGACTAAAATTCTTTAATAATGTGTCAATGTAACTTTGAATTAATAAATTGAGCCAAAAGCATTTTAATATTTCTTTATTTGATCTTAATTCTCCCAATTTGCTAGCTGCTGATAGGTATAGATCCTTCTTTTGACTAATTCCAGCACTTGATCGAGAATTCTTTCTTCAAGAAGACCTATTCCCTGCACTGATTTTAGAACGTACTAAAGTATTATTTTGGTTAACCTACGTAAACCCTCTCGTCGACACATTCTTGGAAGGACTCATTATGTAACACCAGATTGATGATCCTGAGATAATTCTGTTTGATTATAGTCATTTTATCTTGATGAAGATCCATGCTGGACAAATCACATAGTCTGGCTAACATCACTTGGAACTCAATATACTTATTAATCTAAAGATAAGCTGGGGTCTTTACTATCCTTGAAGGAATTTTGTTAACATTCTCGCTAACATGGTCTCCACTATGATCGTTGATTTCTTTTAAAGCAGTCTTAAGGTATGATTTGATAATGAAATCAGCCTCAAATGTTAGTAAGGAAGTTAAAGTCTCCTTTGGCTTAGCTAGTGACTCGTATTCGAGGGTAATCAAGCTCAATTGCTCAAGTGTTTCTTCCTGAAACTTGATAGTTCCGATTTGGGTCTCATCGTTCCCTGCTAGTAGCTCTTCCTCTGTTTTAATAATGGCTCCTGTTAGTTCTGGTTGTTCTTTAATCTCTCTGTCTGAAATGCTGATTGCTATACAACTCATTTATTCAGAATACCTTTCATGAGTAAGAACTCTGATACTTTTAGTGCATCTTCAAGTTCTTCTCCTTCGATGCCAAAAGATTTTACTAAAGAAAGTAACTGAGACACTCTTGAATAAGTAATGCTGGAGTTTGAGTCTATATGTATTAGCTGGATTACTTACTTCTTAGTAGACTTCCTTTATAGAAATCAGGCTCTCTCATATTCTCAGTAATCTGGTAAATCACAAATTTTAGTAAGTCTGCTTTTCCTTGGAGAATATCTTTAGAGCTTTCGATGATGTCTAAGAGGTCAAATCATTGTACTAGCTTAAAGTCTTTAGTAAATTGGTTGAGGTTGTCAATGTATTCATTTACCAGCTCATTTTCATCTGCTATGTCTTCCTCTAGAATTTCTGCCCCTGAAACTCATTTATCAAGGTATAAGACAAGTTTATCTTGAGCTAGTTCATCAATAAATAGGTCAAGTTTGCACACTTTACTGAGATAGAGAATTCTGGCAAGATCAAGGATTCTAAATACAGCTGAGGTTTCGAGCTCAGCCATGACTGAGTCGATTTCTTCTTGCAAATAATTCATGACATAATCATAAGTGTATCTGTGAGCGACTTTGAGCTTGTTGAAGTCACTACCTTCGATGTAATCCTTGTTCACCAATATTTTTGAACCCTGGTAGTGTCTGTAGAGAAGATAAAGTAATGAAATTGTGGTGTCAATGTCAAGCTCTTGATGAGCAGTAGCTATTATATGGGAGATTGATGCCCAGAAAGCTTTACTAGGCAATCCAATATCAAATGCTATTTGAGCAAGTGATTCAACTTGCTTAATATCTGAGAAGAAAGGAATCTGTGAGCTCACTGCATCTCTCATGACTTCCATAATTTCAGAGTTTTGCTCATCCTCATGAGACATAATAGGAGAATCTCCAAAATTAACCATTTCTTCTATTCTGACTAAGCATTTGAAGAGTCTGATTATCTTATTATGACTAGCTTGTGTTGGGTTCTCATAAAACTCCTTAAGTATCTGATCTGTCTCAATAATAGAATCGAGTTCTTCATCAGAGTTCTCATCTTGCTCGATTTCTAGAAATTATTAGGAAGAGATTACCTCTGTGATCAAATTGTTGCTCATGGATGTATTGATCTACATCATGGTATTCACTGACCTTCCTCTTTTCTTCTTTCTGTGCTTGCTTGACTAGTCTTTCTAAAAGAGTTAAATATTATGGGCGCACCAATGCTGAACTTCTCTCTGTTTGTGTCAATATTCTCTGAGTAGAACTCATCTTTATTCTTTGTGCACATTGTGGCAAAGGGCAATCTTCTATAAACTGTCAAAGAAGTTGAAGGCATAATTTACAGTAGAGGGAGGCACAATGGTCGCCTTGGCTTCACACTTTGGAGCATATTAGGAGTATATTTTCAAAAACGAGCTTTAAGGATGTTTATCATCTCTAATTTTATAGAAAATGTATAAAAATAAACTAAACCATTAGCTCTGGGGTTTTGGGGTTTTGGGGTTTTGGGGTTTTGGGGTTTTGGGG